GTCTGTGGCACTGGTTCGGGTCTTATCACACATATGGGGTACAGGTTGTTCGATAACATGTTTACATTACAGAGGTTCATTAACATGTTTACTATTACAAGCTTATCACTGCAAACATTCACTCACACTCTTTTGGGTAAAAAATGTTTTTCTACTCCATTGTTGGAGTTGCAATATTTTGTTGAGCTACATCATCCTGGTCTGCTCTGTTTTGTGTGGGGAAGGGTGTCATGCACTTTTTAATGTAGAGCATTCTACTCTCTACACTTTACCAAGGGAAGCAAAGAACTCCCCTTCCACACCTTCTCCTCAGTGTGAGTGCTCATGGAGCCGGCTGCCTGCCAATTGCTAGCAGGGCCTGGGGTCCAGGAAGGTTGCTGCAGCCTCCCTGATGGGTCAGAAAGTGTTCTGCCTGTGTCTCTGACTCTTCTGAGAGCCCAGCCACTCTCTGATGGCTACCTGATGTGACCACAACTCTGAAAAGACTGTCAGTGTACTCTGCCCTCTTCCAACTTCATGCCTGCATGAAGGCAGATTTATTCACATATTTAAATGAGCAACAATAGAAAGCATATAAGGACAGGTGTGGTGGCACATGCCTGTAATCCCAGTGCTCTGGGAGGCTGAGGCAGGAGAATTACCAGTTTGAGCCTAGCTTGGGTAGTTTAGCAAGACCCTGACTCAAAAAATTTTAAAAAGGGCTTGGGGATATATCTCAATGTGATGGTCCTGTGTTTACTTCTAGGAATACATGCGCGTGCGCACACAGACACACACACACACACACACACACACACACAGCATATAAAAGCATACTGATCCCACACTGAGGGAGGCTGAGACAAGATCACAAGTTCTAGTCCCACCTGAGCAACTTTGTGAGACCTTGTTTCAAATAAAAAATTTAAAAATAGGGTCTGAATATGTAGCTTAGTGGTAGAGTGTTCCTGGGTCCCATAGTAACTGCAAAGATAGTAGATTAAATAGGTGATAGATAGTTAGATAGAGAGATAGTAGGTAGATGGCATAGTAGCACAAAAAAATACTTATGAGAGTCCAGTTGCTTTTGTTAAGCCACACATGAAAGAGATTTGCCAAACTGTAAATCAATGCCACCATTCTAATTAGTTTTTCTTTGAAAAATATAATTATGTTGCATGTATTTATGTTTGAGTTCATTATCTTAAATAAATTTATAAAATCTTTAAAATTTCGCAGCTTCTTTTCATTGTGGCAAATACAAACAGATGTAGCCCATATAAATGAAAGGTGTAAGGGAGCCCCACAATTTTTTGAGTTCAAAAAGGTCCTAAAACCAAGAAACCTATAGCTGTTGCTGCATGGAGCAGTGTCTGTCTGTCGTCCAGGCTGATCTCTGCTCACCACCTGGCCCACAAGGGCAGATTACCGTCAGGGGCTCTCACAGAGCACCCACATCTACCCTCCCTTCCCGGAGGCAGAAACACGTCCTGCTGGGGGTGGGAAAGTGGGCGGCCACATGGACCCTCGAAGGCTGCCTGATGCTGAGGCTGCCCTTGTCTGGGCTCTGGTGTGGAGCTGTGTCCCTCCTCACAGCCTCTCTGGGCCGCACACATCCATATGGACCCGGAATGGTCAGGCTTCTGGTTCAGGACTTGTGACAAAGGAGGTAATGAAAGCTCTTCAAACAGAGCCCCTGGATTCGATCTTTTACCACTGAAGAGCAGCCACCTTGCCTTCCACTTGGAGTGGTGGCCCCTCTGTTCTTCAGTGGAGTTCATCACTCCTGCACATTCAGAGCCCGTGAGGGAAAAGATGAGGACATTTTTTACAGAGCCTTGAAATGGCCATCAGGTCATGGAAGGCACTGGGCTGAGGTCTGAGCTGCAAGGTGCAATCTTTTAAGTCCCATTACTTCCCTGCACTTGGACAGTTATGGCTCTAGGGGAAACAGCTCAGCGGGCCAAAAGCAAGAGAGAGGTTCCAGACGAGAAAGGTAATCTCTTTGCCTGTTTGGGGTGGAAGGGAAGAGGAGAGGGTCAAACCGGGTCAGGTGGAGGAGTAACCACACTTGAAAAGCATTGTCTGCTGCTCTGTTTTACTTTGGCATGTGGGGCCTGGAGGACATCAGCTTTATTCCTTTCAGGGAGAACAGCTTTGGGTTCATCCAGCTTGGTTGTAACGATGGTTTGAAGGTCTCAGATGGCTGCTGGGTTTGTTTCCAAACACAGCTTTATGTTATGTGCTGCTGACATTCATGGTAAACAGGGTCCTCGGGCTTCGGGGTGATGACATCTGTCTGACTCAGGCCTGGGTGCCACTCCATGATAGTGACGTCACAGTGCCCTCCTGTCTGAATCTGCCTCGGCTGTGTACAAGGGCAGCTGTGTGCTGCGCTGAATGCTCTTCTGCTCCCACTGCACACATGGTGTGTGGATGGTGCTTGCAAAACACTTGTTTGGGGGATGGACATGTGGGCGGATGCACGGATATCCAAAAATATAAATGCACCCCTTGATGTCAGAACCATTCCTGTTGTTTGCAGAAATTCTGCTTTTATTCAGGGATCGCCTTTTCCCTGTGTCCCCACTGAAAACCTAGGTTCTAATTTTTGTCTCCTGGAGCTCAGATTTTAGGTATCTTAACCACTTCATACCCAAGTGTTTTCATTTGATGTATTTTTTGGTTTTGAATCAGGATCTCCCTACGTAGTTCGAGCTGGCCTTGAACTCACTATGTAGCCCAGGATGGCCTTGCACTCACAGTAATCCTCTTGCCTCAGCCTCCTGAGTGCTCAGGGTTACAGCTGTGAGCCACCACCTCTCCCGGCAGTGCAGGCAGTGAGTCCGTTGACACCAGCAGTGCTCCCCCGTAAGTCAGGGAGGCACAGGACTGGCCTTGTACACAAAGCACCAGGCCTTTACTGAGCATGATCCCAAAGGCTGCAGTCTTGCAGTCTCGGCCATCTAATTCTCACAACACACCAGGGGACAGGGAGCGTTGTGATTCCTGCCTTACGTTTGGGACACAGGGAAAGGAAGGGCACACAGACACAGCAGTAGGGCCAGGACTCTGACCCAGTGCGGTCAAGCGCCACAGCCAGATCCTTAGTTTCTGCGCATACTTTGTATGGTGATTGCAGCTAACAGGCGCTGAATGGCTGGATAAATGAAAATACCCAGCGATGCCTTTTATATATTAATTGGTTGGAGTCTTACATAATTTATATTCTGCCTCCCTCATTGACCACACACACAGTGTGTCTGTCCTGTAGAGGTAGTCATAAAAATTTCTTCTCTTCATAGATTGAAAAAGAAATATTTTGAGATTTTTCATTCATCTTTATATTGAGTTGAACAATTTATTGAAAAAAGTGCTACATTTTTAGAAGCATGGATGCAATTTTTTATAGGAATGTGGATTTATAATGAAAATAAGTGAAATTTGTCAGATATTAGCCTCACCTTTTTCCTGAATGCTGCTTAGTTATGGGGGACAAACAAATGGCTTTGGTCACTCTGCCAAGGAGAAAACTGCCGTTCTGGGGCAAATCAGATCTCAGCTCTCTTATTGCCGAGCACTTTGTATGAAAATCTGATGCATTTTGATTCACAGACTGAAGGCTCAGCATCTGAGGAACTGAGCTGTGCCTTCCCTGTGGATGTGCCCTGTGGAAAGCTCAGCAGTAAGAGCTGGTGACAGGGCTTTTGAAGAGCGTGCATCCTCAGTGTCTGAAGGGCAGATTTGCTGCACGCTGTACACTGAATCCTTTCCTTTCACCTGACCTGCATGACAGCAGCAGGAGATGGAATTGTGTGCAGGTGGATGATTCTTAGAACCTTTGACTAACTAGATTTTAACTTCTGTATAAAGAAAGCCCTGTGACATACAACCCGGATGGTTGTGAACAGTGCACCAAAAACATTAATTCAGAATGGTTAGAGCCTAAAGTGAATCTTGTCTGTTTAGCCTTTCATTTTTTTCAGCTGTTTAGTTTTATTAGTGCAGTACATGTTTGTGGTGCGTAACAAAATGATTACATTCCTCTTTGGGAGCTGGTACTTGTGCATCATTCTTTTTATGTCCTCTTCCCCCTCCCTCTATCTCTTGTCCTCTTCCCACTTACAAAAGATCTATCTCCTTGTTTCCTTTTGTCTCTCTTGTATTTTGCTTTTTAAATTATTTATAATTTAGGTTTCTTATATAAGAGAAACCATGTGCTAGTTAAGCTTCTGTGCCTGATTTATTTCACTTAACATTATAGTCTCAAGGTGCATCCATTTTCCCAAAATGACTCAAGTTTATCCTTCTTTCAACTGATTCTTTAAATGAATAGAAGATGAAGATAAAGGCAGTTAGAGGGTGGCTCACTGAGGGTGTGGCGATTGGTCTGGGCATTGACAATGGCTGGAGATGTGCCTCAGCCTGGCCGTGTGACGAGTGGCATCTTGAACTGCTCAGAGACGAGAGCACAGATGGAAAAAGTAGCAGTGTGATGAGATGCAGAAATACTGCAAGCAAAGAAAGGATGAGACAGAGCTCTCCTTGGAATCTTCATCAATCTTCCCTCCCCACATCCCTTAAAAACTTCCCCAGATCAGCCTTGCAGTGGTGTAGGTCAGGAAGGCATGGTCTCTCCACAGACAGTTATCAAACAAACCCCTCAGAGTCCCGCCCCCTCTAGGGACTGACTGCCTCTGAACACAGCCCCGCGGTGCTGCGTTTCCATTACTGTCCCATCCATTCCAACAGCTGTCTTCAGACCTTTTCCAGAGGTAAGTCTCAGTCTGTCCAGGTGTCCCATTTTAGGAAACATCAGCTTATTGGCCCTAAAGGGAATGAACACAGATATGAGTCATAATTCTGCATGTACACTTCATACTGACTTCAATTCAGGGAGTTCATTTTAGGGCCTGTTGTATAGTAGGTGCCCAGAAAAATTACTGCACTTGTCCTACTACCAGTACTCAGTTCATTGGTTTTTAAAAACTTTATCATCTTTTTCTTGTTCTCTTAAAAAGGAAAGATTTAAGGAAGCTGAAGAAATATACCAGGCTGGTATAAAGAACTGCCCAGACAGCTCGGATTTGCACAACAACTATGGAGTCTTCTTAGTTGACTCTGGTAAGTGAAATGAGTGGGAAACGGCTCTGTGGAAACGAGGTAATACTCTCCGCGAAGCAGAGTGACAGTGACCCACGTAGTGCCCAGAGACCAGATCCGCCGGCTCGGCAGGAAACTCCCAGGGTCATGTCCCACGTCCCGCGGGCTGGCATTTCCAAATCTTCAAGCTCAGCTCAGCACGGTCTGCCCATTTCTTCTGATCAAGTCTCAAGGAAAACTGGGAACCAGGAGATAGCCTTGCTGATCTAATGATCCTGTTCTTCCTCGGGGGTCACTGACACCAGCTGGTAAGTGTGCGGTGATGAAATGCTCCCCTGCAGTGCTGCAGAACCTGCCCTGAATCTCATCACTGGCAGATGGTAAATACTTTGCTTTCTGGAATCGTTCCGTTCCTCCTTTCCTGACCGCATTACAGAACCGGCCTTCCTATAATTGATACGGGGTTCTCCTATGACAGGTGCTGTATAAAATCCACTTTCTTCATCTTACCTAAAGCAAAGCATTCCTAGGCAGGGGCTGTAGTTATGATTTGTGCAGAGCCCTATACACCGTGGGCATGTAATGAATACTTAGACGTAATAAAATTATATTTGAATTCAATGTAAAATACCACTTTGTTCTTATTTACTACTAGACTGGCTGCCCTGTAGTGAAATTCAGCTTTAATTATTTTTTCAATATGAAATGCTTGAAAGGGTCTTTATTTTCTCTGATGTGTGAGGGAGGCTTTTCTGTTTACATAATATGTAAATCCACACTGATACATCTGGAAATGTAACAGCTTTCTTTGCATGTAACATTGTTGTCTGGCGCCACCTGCTGGCTTATTGGCAACACAATAATAAATTAAGATAGGAAGATGGGAAGAGTCCTTTTCCTGGCCTGGTCTGTGCCTTGGTCTTTTACTTCAGAAGCAAACGGCTCCTCCACCCACTCCTTAAAAGGATGATATCCACACCCTGGCCACATTAAGATGCGGTGTCTTCGCTGCCCCTTAGTTGCACTTGGGAGAGTTCTGCTGATGACCAAGGTCCCATTGCCCTGGAATCAGACTTCTCAGGTTCAGTCCCATGACCGGCTACCACCAGGAGACTCCTTCAGGGCGCCAGGGGCTTCACACTCATCCTGGCCTCTGCCTCACTCACCCAGACATTTGTCTGGCCGCTTAAAGTCTTCGCAGTTTGCGCCTGTACCTGTAAAGTAGAAGTTTCATTTGTTTCTGTTTTACATATCCCTTAAACCCCAAGAGGCAGCTAAATAGTACAAAAAGTACCCAGAATGCTACAAAGATTGTGCAGGTGAAAGCATTTAAAACACATGATGCATAGGGTAAATACAAGGGGGTATTGCTGTTGTTTATAGTCACAATAAATAAACATCATTTGAGGGCTGGGGAGTTATGTCAGGGATTTCACTGCCTGTCTCGCAAGTGCAAGGTCCAGAGTTGGATCCTGGTACCAAAAAACAAAAAAAAAAGAAAATTCCATTTGAATAAAAAATGATTCCAACAGAAATTTTCAGAGCAGAGCAGAGCAATGCAGTTTCAAACAGCATTCACTCACTGTGTCACAGTCTAGTGACTGAGCGCGACCCCTCAGACCTGCATCAGAATTGTGGTCTCCTGCAGTGCTGTTCCGAGTGTGCATATGAGAGGTGGCTGTGTCTTGGGTGAACAAGTCACTGATCCCCTCCAAACATCTTAGCCACAAAGGCTGTGGCCAGGAAACTCTCCAACTAAAATAAGAAAGTAAAAGAAATAGGCTTCAGTTTTTACTGTTGTTTTATCATTAATTTCTTCAGAAATGTAAATGGTCAGAAGAAGAAAATGGTCCGGACTTAAAGCTCAAATGAGACACCACAGTGCAAGCTGAGTTGTAAACTGAATAGTTGGCAATCAGCCTGTAATACCAGGAGGAGTGATGCAAGTCAGGGCCCCAGGCCCTCGCCTCCTAACACAGGCTCTGCTCTCCCCCGTTGCCCTCCCCAGGGTCCCCCGAGAAGGCTGCAGCTCATTACCAGCAGGCTGTCACCCTCAGCCCCCATCACTACGTGGCCATGGTGAACCTGGGCAGACTCTACAGGTCGCTGGGGGAGAATGGCGTGGCTGAAGAATGGTACAAACGGTACAGTTCCTTTTCTTTGATTTTTGTTTGTTTATGTTGTTTTGAGACAGGGTCTCACTGTGTAATTCAGGCTGGTCTTGAATTCACTATGTAGCCCAGGCCGGCCTTGAACTCCTGGTGATCCTCCTGCCTCAACCTCCCAAATGCTGGGATTACAGACATGCACCACCATGCCCCAGCTTGTTTCTTCGCTTTCTAAGTTGCCCAGAGACCTCAGAAGATGCCAACTTTCTATTTAACTAGACGATGCAGGCTTTCAGAATACAGTATTAGCAGATTGCTAGTTCAGGATCCAGATTTCCATTTCCAAAGAGAACAGTCCAGTGATATGGATGCTATCCTAATTAATGACCTTTCCCCTGCTAGTTAACGATGGTGCTAAAGCAGAGTTGGAATTTCCTTTCTACTTCAGTTACTTCGTAATTTCCAAATCTTCAGGCTATGACCCAAACCACAAATAGCAAGTTCTGAGTGGGACTGGGGGAGGTGCACACACCTCAGAGCAGGACCAAGGCTGTCCCTCGCATGAGCGGGCCCCTGCCAGCTGTCAGCAGAGACGTGTTTGTACTCAGAGGCTGGCTCAGTTCTGACCTCTGGAAATGTGCCATTTCGGAGATGAGCATCAGCTTGCCTTTGTCCAAATTCAGAGCCCTGCAGGTGGCCCGTGAAGCGGAGACCCTGTCACCCTTGGGAGCGCTGTACTACAACACTGGCCGCTATGAGGAGGCACTGCAGGTGTACCGCGAGGCTGTGGTACTCCAGCCCTTGCAGAAGGAGCTGCGCCTGGCTCTGGTGAGTGACCAAGGAGTGGACGGGAAGCCGGGCCCAGGCACATCGTGGGGCTGCTGTCTGCCTGTTCACGGCGTGGTGCTCGCATCACCAGGGCTGCAGCCATGCACTGCACACAGACACCCGAAGCCCTCAGAGCTTTGTCTCAAAATAATTTCAGACTTGGAAATAGTCTCAGGGCTGCGGGTAGCTCAGTAGAGCATTTGCCTGGCCCTAGCATGTATGAGACACTGGCACTCCTCCCGAGCTCTGCAAAGTGAAAAACAAGAAAAGTTGCAAAGATAATAAAATGCCCCTCAGTACCTTTCACCAAGGTCTACCAGCTTTCAACACCCACCTGCGTGTTCTTCTCTGCCACAAGTGCATTGCACACCCACTCATGTGCTGCGGTATGTGCGAGTTAGGTGTAGCTGTCAGACTTCTCTGTCCTGAGTGCTTCTACCCGCAGCCCTAGGAACAAGGACTGCAGTCCAGTTGGCAGACTCGGGTACAGCATGAGCACCAACAGTCTTTTTATTTTGATGTTCAGAATGTCTTCTTTTTCTTAGATGTGGGATAAACCACTTCGTTATCTTCTTGTCAACATCCTGTTCTTTTGAAATCATAGACAATTATTTGTCTTGGGATATATTAGTTAACCTTTGTTAAGAGGCGCAGCCATTTCACTGGATATCTTGGGCACTCTGACCATTCACACACAAAAGTGTGAACGTAGCTGGAGAAATAAAGGAGGCACAGAGGATGAAAACCTACAAGCTGGGCACCCTGCCTTCCCCCTGGCATTGTGGGGCAGCTGCTGAGGTGTGGGTGGGGCTGTTTTCTGAGAGCCTCTGTTTTCAGATGCTCTGTGTGATGAGCAACCCTAATGTACCTGCTCAGGCATGGCCCGTGTGCTTTTGTAGGCACAGGTTTTGGCGGTGATGGGCCAGACGGAAGATGCAGAGAGGGTGACCAAGCACATCGTGGCGGAGGAGGCCGGGTGTCTGGAGTGCTACCGCCTCCTTTCAGCCATCTACAGCAAGCAGCAGGACCATGACAAGGTAGCCGAGCCTTCAGCTTCCGAGTGGGGAGAGGTCTGCGCCTGTGGTCCTGTCTGTGTGTCTTTGGCTGAGAAGCCTTGAACACCTTCGGCTAGGGTTCCCAGCCTCTCAGGGGATTCTCACGGATGTCTCTGCCCCGTGAGATGCACATGCTTTGGCTTTTCCACGGTCTAAAGAATTGATGTAATTTTATTTGCGTGGTTTTAGCTAATTCTAGAAAGACTGACGTTTGTGTGATCTTAGCATTTTCCATGTTTCTTCTAAAATACTATTTCACATAATCCTCCTAACAGCCCTGTAAGGCAGGCCAGAGTTGCAGCTTCTGCTGTTGATCTGTACTTTGAAAGACACATAACCAGTGTAACCATGAACCAGCTCGACAGAATATTTGTTGAAAGCTGCGGTGTGCTAGATGCCAGCAGTAAAGTGATGCCAAGGCCAGAGCCACTGCCCTCTCATATAATTACACCAAGAGTGTGGCAGCAGCATGTGCAGAGGTCTTGTGGCAGCAGCTCGGAAAAATGGGCATCAGAAAGCAGGGCCCCAGTGTGAGATGCAAACACAGATTGCTGGGACCCGTGGGGTTTTGTTCTTTACTTTGGGAGAAGGTTTGGGGGTTTTGCAGCAGAGGGGTATGATTAGACCGGTGCTGTGAAAGTCTGTTTGCTACAGAGATGCAGCGGCTGAGGTTCGGGGCAACCAAGAGGATGAGAGGGGCTGTCTGAGCCTTGCGGAGATGTGGTCAGGGCTGATGTCTGGCTGAGCCTCACTTTCGCTCAGCTCAATTCTATTGCCTCCCTGTAAGGTGATCGGGACGTTTGTCTTTTCTGGCTTTGCTTTTATTTTTGTTATTTTTGTTTGCCTATTTGTTTGTTGTTGATGTATTAATGAACTGGGTGTAAGGGAATTGTTTTGTTATGGCTGTTAATTCTCAAGGAGAACATCAGATACTGCAGTGTCTTGGTTGTTCACACAGGTGTTTACTCCATCTTTGTTCTGCAACCCCGCAGGCGCTCCATGCGATAGACAAGGCGCTCCAGCTGAAACCAAAGGACCCCAAAATTGCATCTGAACTCTTCTTCACAAAAGGCAACCAACTAAGGGAGCAGAACCTTCTTGATAAAGCTTTTGAGGTAAAATACATAAAAGTTGCTACTAAATGCATGAATTACAGTGAGTCCTTGCAGAATCTGTAAGGAAGCTGCCACAGCAGATCTGCATCGGCGTGTCTGCGGGGCTAGTTTCAGGTTCACTGACATGGTGTGATCGCTGATTTTTTATATTTGAGCTCCTGGTTTGTGATCACTCCAGAGCTGTGCCATGCATTCTCTTTGGCAATTATCATCTTGAACTTGATTGTCCAAACATTCACATTTTAGCCTCAGAATAACCCAACTGCCTGTCTCTGACTTCACGTGTTTGCCTGTAAGAACAGACTGCTGCACTGGTGCCCAGGTAGCCCCGGGGACTCCCCTGTCCTCAGCACCCAGCTCCCCACCAGGTCTGTGCTCTCCTGGTGCACAGCCCTGCCCTCCTCCCTGCACCCCCTCCTGACTGGCCCACCTTAGTAACCTTGCTTACTCCAGCTCAGAAAACTCTCTCTGAGGCATCTGTTACAGAAAGGATTGTATTAGGCTGTATTGTCAGATGCTCCCTGTCACCCTCCTCCATGCGTGTGCATGTGTGTGTGTGTGTGTGTGTGTGTGTGTGTGTGTGTGATAAAACATTCCTTGTGAGAGGGACCACTCTTCTAAAACGTGTTTTGCATCATACGTGTGTTCCATATCTACAACTTTGGAATACAATTTATTCCAAATTAAAAGTTAAAAATCAAAAAGACCTATAAAGTTATAGTGTTACAGAAACACCAGTCTTCAGTGACGGTCATACCATACTTTAGTGGTGGCCGTAAAGCCGCAGGTTGAAACTACTGAAGTTAAAAAGTTACACGATAGGTCAAAGTAAAATCTAAAATGGTATAATTGTGGCAGGAAATAAATAAGTGGATTTTAAAATATTACTAGGGGCTGGGGCTGTTGCTCATTAGATCCCTTGTCTAGCAAATGAGATGCTCTGGGTTCCATCCTCAGCACTGCAAGAAATAGATACACTGTAAAGAAAAGCCCAGTGCTTCGAACGTCACAGAGTGGCAGGGCTCACGGGAGAGTGGAAGGAGGTCCGTTGAACACTACCACTGGCTACTTCGTCCAGTGCTGTGTGGAGGAGTCGTGTGTATAAAGCAACTTAATCTTTGCAGAAATCGTGTAGGCAAGAATGGGTCACTGAGACTGGGAGGTCATGTAACTCGCTCGAGGTTACCCAAGGTGGAAGAGGAGGAGCCTGGGCAAGGCTCAGCATTTTTCTCCTGCACTCACATCTCTGCTGATAGAAATTAAACCAAGAGACATACTTGAGGTTTATTTTAGCATCGTTCCAAGAATCTGATTTCTTACCATTTACTTCTTTCTCCTAAAACTGGAGGGAATGGATTGGAATTTATTTGGTGGATTTGTTTGGTTATATTTTTGCTAATAAAAATAGCAGTGAACATTAAAATGCATACAGAGATAACACAGCTTTGTAGAGTCATTGGCTTTGCTTAAGGAGAGTACTCTGAAAGTTAGGGCTGCGTGATGAGTTGAACTCTGATGCAAAAACAACTTGCAGTGTTGAAAATCTGCTTCACCGATACTGTATTTAGTAGGTTACCTGTTATTCACACAAAAGAATATGCTAGAGAGATGGGAAACTCTGTTGGAACATTTGAAGACTTTTCATGCAACAGAAGAAAATGAGACTTTCTGATTATTAAAACTGTCCCCTGGTAAAGCAGACCAGCGAGCATCTCACTCTGGATGGAACCCCAGGCTAAGTGTCCAGGTCAGCGACACCGCAGAAGAGGCTGTGACATCCAGGTCAAGCTCTCTGCAGACTATTCTAGGTCCTGACTTTTTTCCTTTTTTCCCTCAGTGCTAGGGATTGAATGCACAGCCTTACAAGTGCTCAACCATACTCCCAGCCCCCAGATTCTTTGATTTCACATAGACTTTTTGCCTTACCAATTCCGTTTATAGTGAAGAAGGGCAAAAAGCATGGTTTTCTTGCAAGTCAAGGCCAGTGGGAGAGAATACCTGATTGCAGACATCGCCTAGATTCCTGGCAGGTAGCCTCAGGTGGCGCAAATCCACAGATTAGCTCTGCAGAGAAATTGCACAGCAATATCCACTTTAGAATCATCGACTGTGACAATAATGGAAATATGCGGGGCTTCCTGCGAGCTGATGGCGGCTGGTTCCATTGTAGTAACCCTTAAATGCTCACATGTGCAGGGAGGCCGTCTCATTTTTTAACCTGAAGCTCTTTCTTACTCAGAATTACAACGCAGCCGTGGCTCTCAACCCAGAGCAGGCACAGGCCTGGATGAACATGGGCGGGATCCAGCACATCAAGGTAGGAGGCAGCGCGCTTGGGTGGTCTGGCTGCAGCGCTGCCGTCTCGCTTTCTGTCTCTCTTTCTTCTCTCAAAAGACTCAGCGCCCATTGTTAGTTTCCCCTTCAAATCATTGGAATCCTGAAAATGTAGGTGTTCAAGAGTAAAATTAACATAGCTTGTATTCGTTTTGTATTTTCTAGATATTGGATGTCATGAAGCCATTTTAATATATATTTAATGCATTGGCTTCCATGACTATAAAGAAAACCACGTACTGACAAGCAATATCATCAGACAGTAGTTAAGATCTGTATGTGGGGCTAGGGATTTAGCTGGTTCCGCCGCCTGCCTTGCAAACACAAGGGCCTGACTTTGATCCTCGGTACCAAAAAAAAAAAAAATTTATGTGAACTAATCCCTGATGAAGCATGGTGTGGCTTATTTTCCTCACTGTGAACACAAATGTATGTTAGTACTTTCCTGTGGGTTATGTGCAAGGCACTTTTTACTCCCTGTCTTCTTACTGGAGGTTTATTTCATTTTGCCTCCCTCTCCTGAATAAGAGAAGCTAACTTTGGATCTTTCTGCCAAGGAGGTTGGAAGAAGATCTTCACAGGGGACTGTTGTTTATGACTGATAAAGTCAGACGATTCACCGTGGTTCATTAACCGATTTGTTCATTCATGGCACAAACATCTGTGGGTAGCAGGCTGTATGTCAGGTGCTCTTCTAGGCCCTGGGAACACAGCGATGAACAGACAAGGTGAAACTCCTGTACTGTGGGGCTGACACTCCAGTAGGAGGTGACAAGCCGTGAGTGAACAAATGAACAATTCTGGTGCGTGTATGTACGCTAGAATCTATCAGATGGTGATAAGTGCTGAGGAAAGGGAAAGAGGGAGCAGATTGGGAGTGCTGGGTGAGGGCTGAAATTTCAAATTACAGTGGTTAGGGAAGGCCTCGGTGAAAAGGAATTTTTAAGCAGTCTTGAAGCCAGCAAGCCATGTGGCCCAACGGGGACAGAGCATGCGCCAAGGTCCTGAGGCACAGATGTTCCCACTGTGTTTGGAGTAGAGAGGAGGTAGCTTGGTTGGGGCAGGGACAATGGGAGGTTGGAGAGGTCCAGGCCACATTGTGCAGTGCCTTGAGGGGGATTTGTAGGAACTTTGGCTTTTATGGCAAATAAGTCAGGGTCCTTGGAGGAGTTTAAATGGGAAGAGGCCGTGGTTGGATGGGTATCTTTTAAAGGATCCCTCTGATTTAGCTACCTTGTTACCAAGCTTCTGTGGGCCTCTGCACTAATAAAAAGAGCAATATGGTGACCAGCAGTGAGCAAAGCCTCATGGGGACCGCAGTTCATTCAGTAAAACTGGTTGCTCTCAGACAGTGGAGAAGTGGCAAGTCTCGGACCTGCAGCAGCAGGCTGAGCCTCACAGATGTGGAGCCAGGGTCAGTGGTCAGAGTCCAGAGCCAAGCTTGGGCCCTTCTGACGCTGAGGGTGTCCAGCAGCATCTAGTTGGGAAGTTGTTAAATTAAGTTAAAGTTGTTAATTAGAAAAAAATGGAACAAATAAATTCAGGAGTCTTCCGACAGTCTATAGATAGAGAAGATAATGTATTTATTGTATGGTTGAATCAAATGCTTTAACTTTAGAAGTACTTAATAGAAAAGGTATCTGGAGATTGAAGAATTACCAAGTATGGTATTTTTAAATGTAACTAACATTAATTAAAATTAGCTTATCTTTTTTTTTTTTTTTTTTGCTACTGCAGACATCATGTATTAGGTTGAACAATACAAAACTGCCACATTTATAGTTTAATGATCAGTAAACTGCTATGATATAATCTAACAGAAACATACAGAGCAGCACATGGCTTGGGCATGGTAGGCTGCAGGATCTTCAGGAGCAGTTGTGGACTCATGTGTCCTTGGCATTGCCCAGCAGGGAGCGCAGACAGCAGAACTGTCCTGTTGCTGGGCCTGGGAAGCTGAGGCAGCCTGAGGGCCGCAGGGAGGCTGAATTGGAAGAGGGTTTTCAAGGAGGAGATTCCAGGTGGGGAGAAGGGAGTGAGTGTTGCAGTCTCCTCTTATTCCTGCTGTGTAGGGATTCACACTTTCCTGTCCTGGACCTAACTACCTGGGAACAGAAGGGTCTCAGATTTGGATTTCTCTCAAGCTTTAGAATATTTGCAGGGATGGATGGATAGAGAGATAGAACCTAACTGTTGGTGTGAAATTTGTGTTTCACATGCATGTTAGGCTTTCAGCCTGAAGACAGCGGTCTACACTATTCATAGTGCACACAAGGCCAGGTGTCATCATGTCAGTGCTCAAAAATTTTCAGATTTTGAAGGATTTTGCATCTTTAGGAATGCTCAACCTATAATACTTTCCATAAAGTTTTATATATGATAAAAAGTTATAATATGTTCCTTATAATCAAAGCTTTCGAGCCACCAGCCCACATTACATGTGCTGTTTTCAGTCTGCCTCCTGACAGGAAGGTGTGTGTTCTAGGAGGCCTGTTGTCCACTAATGACAGACGGTGGAAATGCCCTGTGTCCAAACCAGCCAAGGAGACGGTGACCCCCAGCCACATGTGGCTGTTGAGCTAGTGCAGTGGAGGAACAGAATTCATGATTGTTAATTTAAATTTCTGTAGGCACATGTGATGAGTGGTGATCATATTGGCACAGTTCTAGAAAACAGATCATTCAGATTCCTACCTAGCATGGAATTGGAGACTTTGGATTGAAGGATACAACTTAAAAAAAAACAGGGTTTCCGGTTTAATCAAGAGCAGTTGCAGGGACAAAAGATAAAGTTGGTTTTGTATAAAAGAATGGAGAAACCTGGCTCCAGAGCCCGTGCCTGGGGAGAAATCAGCATCAGCTGCAGGGGAGGTGCACTGTGTGAGCCCTCTGCCAGATATGCAGGTGTCTGCATAAGTGTGTTCAGCTTGGTAAAAATCAAAGGATGCTGGACGATAAGTCCAGGAGTTGAAAAAAAATAATTGAACGCAGCAAAGCCACACTCCCACGTGTTCAGCAATCTGTTTAGCCTCTTTTCAGAGCCAGTGTTAATAACCAGAAATGCACTTATCAGCACCTGGATTCCCAATTAGTTTCTCATCCTGCTGTCCCCACTTCGTTTCACCAAGTGTGACTAGTGGGACACTGCACAGAATGGATCTTCACTGAAGAGCAATAGATGGCACGCACGAGAGCTCTTTGTATCTGGCAGTGTCTAGACTCTGGACACAGAGTTACTCATTACCAGTAGAAAGGAGTTGCTAATTGCTGCTTACACTTTTACTCTAAGAGATGCAGTGTTAAATGGCGATAGAAATCCAGAGTCACTGGTGTTCATCCACATGGCAGGTATGACTGAGAAGTAGGTAAAGTGAAAGATGTTTTTTCAGACTAGAGAGAGCTCTAACAATCTTAATTCTGAGACTGCGGGACACAGATCTGAAAGGGTGAATCAGTAAAGGAAATAAATAATTTGTTTCAGATCGGGAAGGGGGTTGGGAAAAGGTAAGAGTTGTGACCCATTTGCCAGAGCCTATCGGGTGCCAGGCACACATGGTTGCTAGAGATGAGTGCCCGCAGAGAGTGTGCAGCCATTACATGCGGCCAAGTGACCCCAAATTCTTATCATTTTTTCATTACATACGGCCTGTAGGCTGCTGCTAGGTTTTAAGGTGAAGATTAGAATAACAAACACCTCTAGCAGATCTAGTAGACCCCTAAACTATTTTCAGAAACACGTCCCCTCCCAGACATGGCTCCATTTGATGAGAGAGCCCCATGGGAGCACCCGGAAATGCTCTTCTCCTGAAAAATCTCTTTCTGTCTTAGCTCACTCATCCTTCTGTCAGCCTTTGCATTCTCCATCCAGTGTGGCACTTAAACGAGACGGATTCTGCAAAGCAGTGAGAGACAGGATGGAATTGTGCATCCAGAAAAGTTGTCTGTGTGAATGTTAGTGTTGGACAGGACAGGGCTGGCCCCTCAGTCCCCTTCTTCTCAGAGTCGTGATGATCCGAGTGTAATTATTCTCCCTTCTCCCCCACAGGGAAATTATGTGTCTGCGAGAGCTTATTACGAGAGAGCCTTACAGCTGGTTCCAGAGAGCAAGCTGCTGAAGGAAAATCTCGCCAAATTGGATCGCCTAGAAAAGCGGTTACAGGAAATTCGAGAAAAGGATCGGACATAGTGCTGCCAGGCCCACTCTTGTAGGACAGTGCTGGTGGCTCCAGAGGAGCACAGAGTGATGGAGGCCTGGCTGTGGCATCCACAGGGCACAGCCTGTGAAGCTTTCTTCTCACAGCACCAAGTTCAGGGTGGGACATCTGCCAGCCTCCCGGTGTTGAAGACTTCCATTGCCATGAAAAAGGAAAAACAGCAAGCCAGGCAGGAAGTTCTGAGAGGGACAGAAGACAGAAAACTGTACATTTTATAGATTTTTGTTCAGTCTTAACTCCCCGTTTCCCTCAGCACATTTCTATGCTTTTGCATCCTGGAGACCTAACTCCATTTCTTCATTAGACTTTGATGTCCCAGAAGTACAGAAGTATAGAAATACTATAAAGGAAAGTATCTGTTCTTCATGGGATGAGGAATTTCAAAGAGGATACATCCTCTGTGGGAGCTGTTTGGGGTTGTGTACCAAGTGGCGGTTCAGTAATGGCTTTTGTAGAACCATACTGACTATCTGAGCCAAAGGGCTATTGTCAAATGAGCTTTATCTGAGCTCTCCCTAAGGATGCTACTAGAGACCTTTTGAGGAGTAAATTAAACTCTGCTCTGGTGTAAGTTTTTCATTACCCAATACATCAAAAAGGAACCTTCTGGAATTGTATAGGGGTATCTTTATCCCTGCCAGAAGAGCAAGAGCTTGATGCTCCTAATGTTTTAACTCATAGGCTTTGTTACAAATATTACTGGAGTAGTGGCTCTACTCCAAGATTTCAAAAGTGCATTTAAAATCATAAACTTTCCCACCTTCAAATATATTGTTATTTTGGTGGAGAAAAATAGTATATTCTACATAGAAAATATTAAAGATATTAACTAAGAGAAATATCCTACTTTGTTATCTTAATGTTTAGATATCATGAATTTATTATTTTTTGAAAATATATTTGAACTTTGAGAAATCTACATTATATAACAGACTCTTCATAAACTCTAACTAGAGGGAAAGAAAGCTGTATTTATTTGTCTTCCTAGGCTTAGTGAGAATTCTGTACTTAAAACACAGGTAATCAAGACCTGGTATGTGTCCTGCATTTGTAATTTTGGAGATTTCATAGAGAATACTCTAAAAATCTAAGGAAGTCTAAATTCAAAATTTTAAAAATATATATTTGTATTTAAAGGATAAGGAAAAGTTAACCTCACAATTTGACATTTATTTTTAGGTTATTTATTTTATAACTTATAAAATATTTAATATATACATACTTCTTTTTTTCTCTGTACATAGTGGTTTTAATAACAGCTTCCAAAACTGAGCATGTAAAATACGAATCTAAATTACAAAACAGTTGAGCTTTAACAGCCCCTTAAAAATGGTATTATTTGCCACTAATATTAACAGAATTCGGGATCAGCCTTCAGTGTTTAGGTGGTAGTATATCTCGGAAGGGGAGAATTTGGAACGCCGGGTTCTAACTTGGTCGTGATCATTAACGACAAGCACCCAGGTGGCCACTGGCCGTGGTAGAGATGGTGGCCAAAGGCTGCTCAGGCAGGGCGGGGTCAGCTTCCTCCCTCACACCCCAGGATCAGGACTGCTGCCCTCTGTGTTACTCTTTTGTTAAAGGGCAGCCCATGTTCATGGAAGAAAACTTCTTTGGGAAAGAATGGCAGGGGGAATGTTTTAAATACGAACAATGGCAGAATTAGAGTTAGCATGTATCTGTTTCTCTGTGTTAATCCAATAGCATATATATATATTACCATGATGACCTGTTTCTAAGTCTTTCAGTCATGTCGACCACAAATTTATCCAGAATCATATTTTTTCTTCCCTCTCAAATTATAATTCTAAGGCCAAAAAAAAAAAAGCATTATAGTATTTATTGTCAAGTAACCTTCTACCCCTAAATTTAAAAGTAGGAGACCCTTGGTACAAACATTCATTATCTAGAACATTTATCACAGCTTTCCGCAATAGTCTTTAACTAAAACTCATGCTTCGGGAGTTAATGGAAAAGACTGAGCCCTGAATTCTGCAATAATTATGCCTTGTAGTGCAACTAAAGTTACGAGTATGTATTTGATGGACAATTAAAGTAGCAATGACGGCCTTAATGTTTCTGAGAGAAGAATCATGTGGCTGGAGGGAGATTTTCCCAGGCTGTCTGAGGTTTCTGCCCCACCTGATCTGTCTCTGTCTCTGTCTCTCTTTATTCTCTGTCCCCCCACCCCATTCTTTTCTCATCTGTTAGTACACACCAGCATCTCCTTGACTGTTAAAAGTAGGCACTGCTTAAAAATGGAAAAAGAAGTAACATTGTTGGATCAGATATTTTTATCCTTCACTAAAATGAAGCCAGTGAAATAATTCTCTCAGTTGAAATGGTACCTATAACACAATAAATCCCAGGCTATTTTTCAAAAACATGAAGTGTATCTTGTACATTTTTATTTGGTCCTTGTAATGTGAAATAATCGGCACAGTTCATCCTTATCAAAATAGAAAGAGAGCGCTGGCTGGTCACAGAGGTACTCTGTCATGCCCTTGGCAGACATGTGTTTCTGTGGTGCAAGAGCTGGCCTGGCTGCGCAGATGAGGCGTCTATGTGGTCTCCAGTCCGTCCGTGTGCTCTCAGGTACATCCCTTGCTTGGTTCAGTGCTCTGCCTAGATTCTTCATTATGCCGAAACAGGGGCCCCACAGTTTGATTTTGTGTTGGGTCATGGAATTCTGTAAAAAGAAGTTGTGGGTAGGAAGGGAGGTGGCTGAGAACAAGATAGAAGTCCCTTGGTCTGGGTGAACAGTTGATTTGACAGTCAGTGTCCTTCACTGTTATATGAGCAGTAGTCTTGCCTCTGCTGCATGTAAAGTTCATGTACAGATTCCCTCTTCTCCTTCCAGTCTGTCTACACTGACCTTTAGTCCTGTCTACAACTAATTCTCATCTTCACATTAATCATACATGGCAGTATATACCTTTAAACAGGAAAATGGCATTCGCAGTGTATTTTAACTTTTAATTGTTCATTCAAAATGTGTTTTTTGTTTTGGTTTGTTTTTTCTTTTTTTGGTACTGGGGATCGAACTCGGGCCCTCAGCTTGCAAGGCAGGTGGCAGAACCACTGAGCTAAATCCCCGGCCCTCATTCGCAATGTTTTAAATGATTCAGATGTTTTCAGTTTATGAATGGCACTCATCAAATCTGATTCAAATGCTGCAACACAGATGAATGAAACCAAAGATGCAGATACCTTGGAGGGAAATAAAATTTTACTTTAGGGGATACTGAGGTGATGTACTCGTGGGGAATTGTTTACAGTGAAACCTACCACAAAGCAAAGAGGATTGTGAGCACTGTCATTCCACCTGCTTGAGTACTTCAGAACCCTTAACAGAAGATTCTGAAGTTTGTCCTGAGTGGCACCTGGTTTGGTACAGGATGTTGTAGTACTTGTGCAGCTGCTTTTCAGCCAAACCAAACGAGAGTATCCAAGCCTTCCTAAGTAGACTGACTGGCAGGATTCTAATTTGAGGGAGAATTAAGAGTACAGATGTTGTCTCTTGTTGTGTCTGTTAGACTGTCCCAGACTGTTCTGCTCACAGAGCTGTACAGGCCCTGGCTCTCAATCTTAGGAAACCATGGTGAGGACTTCCAGACTCCTGGCTCTTGCTGTCTGGGTGACAGCTCTGAAAGGCAGCTAGGATTGAGATTGCCCCAGAGGCAGAGCTGGCAGCTTCAAAGCAGTTGATGGCTTTTTACAGCAGCATTGTTTATGATCCTCTGAAATTTGTTCTTTTTTTTCAGCTTTAATTGAGTTTATTGGTACATTTTAGGGATACAGTACAGTTGCATTCATTGTTGGGATCTTGTACCTCTACATGACAAGTCTTGATTCTCATTTTTTCCCCTTACCTCTGCCCTCCCTTCAACCCTCCTCCCCTCCCCATCTACAAACACTTTATTTTCATCTTTTCATTCTCTCACATTTTTTTCTTTTCCCTTTTTACTCTTCCCCTACCCATCCCACCTTCCCTACACCTTTAACTCCTTTCTTCCCATTTCTAAATGTCAGTAATCTTATTAGAATCTTATGCATTGTTGCAGAATTTTCACACCAGGGAAACTTTGGTATTTACTCATGTGTGACTTATTTATGAAATTTGTTCTTTTAACTACTAGACGCAAATGAGCCAAAGACTGTGAAAGAGTGACTTACAGAGTGATGGGTTGGTTTAAGGTTGTCCTTCTGTGATGGACACACTGGTGGTCGGGAGTGGTTTTGCATTGACTGCAGCCCATTGACAGTCTGGCCTTGCGTTTATGCACAGAGTTCTTCGCTCTTGGATATGGAGGCATCGCCTTGCCATTTGCGTGCACTAGATGAGGTGCCTGCTGTAGAAAACTGGTATTGTTATGCCTCAGGGAAGGTGTTCATGGTGAAGGGCTCATAGCTACATCTGTGTCCTTCTGTGTGACACATACTTATACACTTTGGTGAAAGCATTTCTTTTTCTTTGCTTCCTTTGTCCTTCCTTGCTTTCTGCCTTTGTCTTTCCTTGTAGTGCTAGGATCAAAACTTGCATGCTGTGGTGGCAGAGCACATGCTCTTCTAGGAGCTACAGCTCCAGTCCCTGGCAATTATTTCTTAACTGTACTTGCTAGAATCAGTTTTGGAAGAGGGAAATCCCCAAACAGAAGCATTTGCTTTGATTTGTGGTGGCCTCGCCCTTGGAACAGTAAGTTGAGAGGACAGTACTGGTGCATTCAAAGCAGATACTTAGAGGTGCCCACTGCAGCCTGTTTACAAATTGCACACGCTTCAACTTGATTGTGTGTAGGTGGCTCCCACACATAGCAAAACATAGCTAACTAAATGGCAACTCCTGACATTTGAAAAGAGTATCTCTACCTGTCAGGTCTTGCATTTGGGCTGCAGGTGAAAGAAAGTTTAGTATACACACACACACACACACACAAAACACACACACACACACACATATATATATATGAAATACTAGATATTTTAATGGTTAATCTTTAAAGCTTTTGATGCAAAATAAAAATATGTTGAATAGTTCTAAAAGAACATTTTCCTCAGTATTTTTGTTTTTATAAGCTCTTCGTTCTAAAGAGAAGTAAAATAACTAATCAAAATCATAACATTTATAGCAACCAACCATTTCATATTAAGATGTCCATTTTTATTACCAAGGGTCTTTTCAGTTAAAACCTTTTGGGGGTGTAACTCATAAAATCACCTGTCACCACACATGGTCATTATCAGTCTGTGAGCTTTGATCACTAGTGATCCCACTGGGAAAGAGAAGCTGACCTCTGGAGATCTGAGACTTTCTTCACACTGTCACTGTGTACCTGATGTGTGTCATGTGTTGTAGATCTCAACGTTTGTACTGTCCTTTTGGGACCATTTATCTTGTTGATCCCTAGGATGGGGTCCCTAGTCCAAGAGTCAAGACAATTGAGGTCTAGTCCTAGCTTTGCCTCGGGGAGCCACCGGTGTCTCAGTTCAGCCCCTCACCCTGAGCACTGGGCAGCCTGAGGGTCAAGAACTGGAAGGTCACTGCAACAGAACACATAGACAACCCTCAAGATTGCTGAACTGGCTCAGTGCTTTCACTTGTCAGAGGGTATTACTTTCATTTGGTTGTCTGTGCGCTTAAAAATTCTGCGTGATTTTGTTACTTGACTGGAGGAAAAGATAACCCTTCCTTATGAGGAAATAAAAGATCTTTAGAAGCCACAGCTTGCTTAAAGAATGTGGAGATGCCTGGGTTTTTCTGTGGGTCTATATTCCTATTATCAGGAGGAAATGAAGGGAATCGTCATCTTTGTTCACAGTGCTCTTGGTTGCTGTTGGGAACCCTGGGATGTGACTTTGTGCTCTTGTTACTTTGCTATACTAGTTAGAAATATGTATCCCATAAAGTATTTCTCCCATTGAGTCTACTTATACTTTGCCTAGGTCTTTCCAAAGGAAAATTTATGTAAATGTCTATTTTATATAAAATAGGATTTGAAAACTATGCCTGGCTCCAGTCTACTCCATGGTTGGTATTCATTTGTGTCCGTGGTGCCAGTGGTGACACTCTGCAGTTAGGAAATGCCAGTCCCCATCCCTCTCTCACTAGTCCCGGCCATGTGTGCTTCTGCTCCCTTCTGCCCACCCCAAGCCGTGACCAGCACCACCCCTGCACATCCCTCCCCTCCTCTCGCTTAGCAGATGCCTTCACCTCTTCATGAGTTACAAGTTAGAGAACAGATGCACCCTCGGTAGTCTGCTCTCCATTTACAGTGTGCCTGGACCAGTTCCGTCTTCTTCTCTGCCGAACAGAGGATTTTGCCTCTTGTGCACTTTGTTCTTCAACCTTTCTATTGCCTTTTAACTTTCTCCTTCTGCTGGCTCTTGTCAGTTCTACCTAAAAACACACAAATGAGGCCTGGATCTAACCTCCAGCACCAAAAAGCAACAACAAAAAAAAGATTAAAACAACAACAAATCAAGTGACCATCATTAAAGCTATCTGGGAAAATCCTTTATTCTATCTCTAGCTGTACTTCATAGCCAAACATTAAGCAGCAAATCAGTTATTGTACTCTCACGATGCTATGTCCAAACTAAGACAGATTTTCCTCATGTTGCAAGTGTGTTCTGGCCACTCTGCTCCCTAAAGTCCTTTCTTTTCTAAAGTTAACTTTGAGACACCAAGATTCTTTTGTCAGGATGTGCCCGCAGCACCGCAACCCACTGACAGCAAACCCCATCCTTCTAGCAGATTCCAACCTGAAATGAATGAATGAGCCAGCGGCTTCTGTTGTGTATCTACTTTTTATAGAGGGAATCTTTTCTCCCTTATTGAAAGGGAGTCATGTTAAGCCTGTAGAGGGTGAATCTGGTACATAAAGCCTAGGCTGTGCTTGACAGAACCTGCAGGTTCTGAACTCACTGTATACTTCCTGATGGGACTCAGCCCAGACACCCTCACAGCATTTTCACAGAAGAGCTGGGCACCTTCCTGAGCCCTCTCCCAGGACCATGTCCTCTGGGCCTTATGCTTGAAAACCAGGAGTTGGTCACCACTGAATACCCAGATGTGACCCTCCGAGAACAGCGCCATCTAATGAAACTTCCTGTGACATTGCAAATATTGGCTATTTGAGGTGTGATCAAAAACAGTGAATGCGCAGATACGAAAAAATATCACCATCAATACTCAAAATATGCCCTCTCAAAAAAAAATATGCCCCCTCAGTTCAAACACCCTCATCCCATCCTTCTTTGCCACTTTCTGAAGCAGTTCTGGAAGTCTTCTTTCATGAGTACTGTTATGACAGCCTTGATGTTCTGAATCCATTCAAAATGTTTCCCTTTCCTGGTCATTTTAACTGTGAGGAAGAGCCAGAGTTGCAAGGGGCCAGATCCAGTGACTAAGCTGGATGAGGACATACTGTAATGTGTGTGTGTGTGTGTGTGTGTGACAGAATTTGCTATAAATATTTAGCCAGTGAGGAATAATCAAAACATACACTGAATGTTTAAATAAAATAATTCCATACAATAAAAGACATGCTGCTATTCGTGCCCCTCAAAATACTCCCCCCAACCCACCGCTTTAACACACCTGTCAATCTTGGCAATGTATTTTTTACTATAACACATTTTGTTTTTAATTGAAACATTCATTGTATTTTTCAGTCACCTCCTGTATGCTCTGTTCAATATAATAGCCCCAGGTGACTAGTAAGCATTTGAAATGAAGCACTAAATCTTCTTTATTTAAACATAGTTTTATTTAAATGTAGCTAATTTAAATAGTCACACATGGCTAAAGTCCACCCTATGGGACAGTTGGGCCCTGGAGATTCTTGGTGATATGGGACATGGGACATAAAAATTACAGACACATCTTTGGGTCCACAGGACAAGGAGACAATGTGTTTCCAGTCCAGATGCCAACTACGTTTTCCAGACCTTGCGTCAAAGTGTTTCTGCCAACCTTATCAAAAAAGGAAATAAAAGGCTCAAATTCATGGAATTAGTAATGAAAAC